GTTTACGTGACGTAATTGCGACATAGGGGGGGGGGGCTAACTATCATTGGCACAGTTACAAAACTTTGTAATTTTTTTAAATTAACGAAAATGTACAAACAATAAAAATCATAGTACATTCATGTACAAACAATGTACAATCCGAATATATAAATGTTTTTACGATTTGCGTTAGGAGGGGGGGGGCCCAACTATATAGACCTTTGTTGTGATGTCCCGACAATGGTAAAATTCAAAAAACAGAACATTATTAAAGAGATCTGTACAAGTCCATCTAAAATTCATCTAAAGAGCAAGATTGAAGTTATGATTATAAGTGTTAATTGTATTATTAGTTATAAATATTAATTATATTATAGCTATAAGAATACTGCATATATATATATAAACTGAACAATGCATTGAACAAATAAGCGAAGAGATAAGAATAACATAAGCAAAGGCAGATGAAATAATTTCACGGGAGATTAAAAGGCAACAACGGAAGCAAGTCGGCTTCGTCCAAAAAGGTTACCAAACACCCATCTTATCCGTCGGCTATCTTCTATAAACGAAAACGAGCTGCATATCAACTTCCAGCCAAACGATATTCCAACGTATCAAGAAGCCGATGTGACGATTAAAAATCTATGCGATACTCTCGAGGGCCTACTCCCCATCACAAGAGGATCAACGTACATCATCGCTCGTGAGACAGTTTTCTTCCAGCAGTACTATTTTTCTCTGCATTGTCCAGTTGAAAACACTGAGTTATTTGGTTCATATTTAGCAGTGTAATATCTGCATTATTAAGACGTATCTATAAGGCTTTGCTTCTAATTAAAATTAGGTAAGCTAATTTAATCTATTTTTATTTGATTTTATTCATATCCTTTCATACGATGGATCATTACCTCCTGTATCCCTAGTAAACCCGGTGAACGCAGGGTGACTAAAAAATAAGGAGGCATTTCAAATTCGCGCTAATAGTCGATATTACAGAATTCTCTACACACGTCTAGTGACCAGACGTAACAGTCGTTAGTGAATTTCCGACTGTCGTTATATTACCGATCATTTTCTATTAGCCACCACAATGTTCCTCTTGCTTGCGCGTACATCGCGGTTGGCGCGTGCAGTAGTAAAATGGCTGCTGGGAAACGTCAATACATTTTATATTAATAAGAGCCTACCTTTGTAAATATTCGCGGCGCAAGGAGACATCGCAATAAGGGCGCATGCCGTTCAACTAACAGCCCGACGTTTTCGTGATCGCGTGTATGTGAGTGCACGTGCCGGCGAAATGGCGGAATTCGTACGCGGCGGGCCCAGCGTGTCCAACAACGCCAAGGTACGTGTGAGGAGTATTATTCACCGTACGCCGTCGCACGCACGTCATTTCTTTGTTGAACGACACTGTCGAAAGAGAAGCACGACGCCGCAGGGCGCACCGTAATCGCTCTAATGATGAATCTTCTCTCGTTTATTTAACATTTTGCTTCTTTTTAATTTATCCTTGCGGTACTATTTACATGCAACCGCGAACTTATCTCCATCGTTATCGGTATCGCCCGGTGATACTCTCCATTCCTTGATTAGGCACGCATGCCGCGACAATGGAAAAAATGTGTGCGCTTCACAAGCTATGTTTTTGTTTATTTTTTCAAATTAAATTAGTCTTTGTGCCAATGAAATTGATAAATAGAATGCTAAAATAAATTAAATCATGAGCATCAATTGAATTAATAAAAATAGTAAATAAGAGATTCACCTAATTGAATCATTGCATTTTTAGATGGAACATAATAGCAAAGGTGGATCTCCCAGTACAGGAAGCGAAGATGGTGGTCAAAATGAATCATTAAATCCGGAGAATGAATTTGATCCTTTTCTTGAAAATATACCAGATGACATACAAGATACAGAAGAACCTGACAGTGCAAATGCTACTCTATTAACAGCACCACCAGAAAATCAGTGAGACTGAATATAGTTTTGTTAACTTTTCACGTTTCTGAAATTAGGTTGAATATTAACATAAAATATGCAAATTATTATTTGCCTAGAAAACCAAATGGATTTATAACTTCAAAATTAAGATCAAATAAAATCATAATCTCTTGCAGGTGGTATCATGGTAGATTAGATAGGTTTACAGCAGAGGAAAGACTGTGGGATGCAACCAAAATGGGTAGTTATCTGGTTCGTGAAAGCGATAGGAAGCCTGGAAGTTATGTTCTATCTTATTTGGGAAGAACTGGAGTAAATCATTTTCGAATTACAGCTGTCTGTGGAGATTATTATATTGGTAGGAAGGAAGATATAAATAAAGAATTTCATTGTTTATACGTAACATAATGATTATGTCTGCAAAATTTCAGAGATATATATTATCGTGTATTATTTCAGAGACATCTTATTTTAACACATGAGCTATTTATTCCAAAAATGATGAATTCTGAGATCTAAATTAATATATTCGCCTAAATTTGCAAAATATGATTCAAAATATTATAAAGTAACACAGATGCAAAACTTACAATATTATTTTGTAGAAATTATGTTGAGTGAGTGTCTTCTAATTTGTACCATGTTGTAGGCGGTCGTCAATTCAACAGCTTATCAGATCTGGTTGCATATTATACTCATTGTTCGGATCTGCTAAAGAGAGAAAGACTTGTGTACCCCACACCACCTCCTGAACCAGTAAACGATAAGAAACGAATTGTTGCAATATTGCCATATACGAAGATGCCAGACACTGACGAATTGAGCTTTCAAAAAGGAGATATATTTTTTGTGCACAATGATATGGGCGACGGATGGCTGTGGGTTACTGCTCACAGAACTGGCGAACAGGGTTTAATATTTCGAGAATTGGTGGAGGATCTTGATGATTCAATAGATCCTAACACGGTATTTTCTTGGTTTCATCCAAATGTCACCAAAAGCGAGGCGGTGGACATGTTGGTAAAAGCTGGACCTGGAAGTTTCCTAGTAAGCATAATTCTTTTCATTTGTGATATTTTTTATTTTATTCTTTAATTTATTTTTCATATCTTTACTCAATAGGTCAGACCATCGGACAACAGTCCGGGCGATTACTCACTTTTCTTCCATATAAACAATCAGATACAAAGATTCAGGATCGAAAAAAAAGGAGTACGATACCTTATGGGAGGTAGAACTTTTGAATGTCTTGATGCTGTAATTAACAGGTATATTTTCGTCATTTTAATTTTACATGCACAATAATACTTTTGATCATTTTATATTGTTATCATAATAGATATCGGAAGGAACAAATTGTGGAAGGTCATACTTTGGTTCAAGCGATGGTAACTGAACCTGACGGTAGTGTAAGGGTAAACAGAGAAGTTCAACATGCCGAGAAAATATACGCGACTTTGAGAGAATGTCGAGAACAGTCGGGAGCGAAGAAGAACAAGGGGATTAAGATGCAAGGATATTTGGAAAAGAAATCTGAAAAGAATAAGAAATGGAAAGCATTATATTTTGTGTTGCTAGTGGATGCCACCGATACGCATCTCTATTTATATGACAATCCTAAGAGAACCAAGCCGAAGGGTCTCATCGACTTAAGTTGTGCTTACTTATATCAGGTGAGAAACGCATATTTAGTAAATTGAAGTATATCATACATCAGCATTAACATGTCAAAACCTGAAATCAATAACATAGACATTACAATAACACGCATGACATGTGCGATGTTTCATTAGCAAATTGAGGAAATAACACCTTAGAGTAAAACGTGGGATGAGTTATCAAAGTGTCTTTTTAGGTCCACGAAAGTGTGTTTGATAGGCCTCATTGTTTTCAATTAGTTGAACGTGCTTTACCGTGTCTGGCCACCATAACTTATCTGGCTGCCCCAAACTCCGAGAACGCATTAGATTGGATTAATGCCTTGAAACCGTTATGTGTCTCACAACTCGGTCGTGCTCCAAAAGTCCCTCGCCTACGTGAATTGCGTTCATTACACCTGCATATCCTAGACGCGCATAGACTTCCGTACAAGCTAGTTCCGAATCCATTTATTATAGTGGCCCTAAACAATGTTAAAGTCGCACGCACGAAGGTCAAAACGGGATTTCCGGGACATCCACTCTGGGATGAGGAATTCATTTTAGAGTATGTATGAAAATCTTATGTAAAGTATCGTTTCAGTGTATAAAAACCATACCATAACCATTGCATTTATTAATTTGTTCAATAGAGACGTACCGCCAGATGTTGTGTCTTTCTCCCTGACTCTGTATAACAAGGGTAAGCGTAGCAAAGATACCGAAGTTGCGGAATTAACGGTTGAGTTGTCAAATTTAACTAACGGAGAAGAAATGGATGATTGGTATCCTCTGTCGGGCGTCACGCCCATCGGAGAATGGGGAGCTTTACGTTTACGCATACGGTAAATTTTCTAAAATATTAATATATCTTAAATATTTATATATTACGTTTCTTATTGCAAGATCAGAACGGAATAGATAAACGAAATATTTAAAGATAATGTTGGCTTTATTATGCATTATATTATTCGAAAAGATTCGACATTGTTAACAAGCCAAGCTACCAATCGGTCGACTGTGACTCTGAAAAAATGACTTTGATGATTCTAAACGTTTACGGCTTCGTATTTTCGTCGTTAATCGATCATTCCCGGAGAATTCAAAGTGCTATTGTTTGGTTTCATGTAAACAAATCGTCAACTGTTTGTGCTTTGTCGAATTTTCTTGAATAATACAATACATAATACATGTCCTATCTTATAATATCTTATAGTATTCCTACATTATATTGATGTATTAATAAAAAATATATATATTACAGATACAGACATGATTTAGCTATGCCTCCCGAAGAGTATAGCCCTCTTCAGCAGTTATTACTCGATCCTGAACTGCATGTTGTCAAAGCTTTAGCAGACGTGTGTCATTTAGACAGAGTACCCTTGGCGAATAGTCTTCTTAGAATTTTTAGGTATACATAATTGTCCTGTTTTAATTATAAAAATACACGATGATCCTGATATTATTCTTTTCTTAGACACGAAAGGAAAGAGGCGGATCTTTTACGATCATTGAATCAAGCTGAAGTACGTTATGATTTTACTCATATACAAACAAAAAATATTATTAAATCTATGATTATAATTGTAAAATATATTTTATTTAGGTTGAAAAGGAAGACGAAACACCAACATTGTTTAGAGCTGCCAGTCTTACTACCACTTTAATGGACTTGTATATGAAGTCCGTTTGTACATCGTTTTTGAAAGCTGCTTTGCGTGATACGATTGTGAAATTGATCGAAAGTAAACAAAGCTGCGAATTAAATCCAACGAAAATGGATTCCCCTGAAGATGCATGCAGTAACGCGGAATTTTTACTACAAGTATATAATTACCATTTCAATCCAGTCACAATCGATTTAATTTGCAATTTTAATTACATGATATTTTTATTTTAGGTATTGGATGAAGTTACATTGAGTATTTTTACGAGTCCCGATGCTTGTCCAAGAACTCTCAGATATATTTGCGGATGCCTGCAAAGAGCAGTCGTTGCTAAGTGGCCACACGAAAGACTAGTCAGAACTCGGGTTGTCAGTGGATTTATATTCCTACGCCTTCTCTGCCCTGCCATATTAAATCCTAGGTCGTTTAATCTAATAGCTGAACCTCCACCGCCATCTGCTGCGAGGTAAATGATACATAAATTAAAATGATACAAATTGAAGTAATTTTAAATACCTTCAATTTGCTGATATTTACGACTTATTTTTAGATCATTAGTTATGGTGGCAAAATGTCTGCAAAACTTGGCTAATTTAGTGGAGTTTGGTGGCAAAGAGCCATACATGGAAGTCGTAAATCCATTCATACTCAAAAATAAAGAGCGAATGGTAGTATTTCTTGATCAGTTGTCTGTAAGTACACTTTCGCACTTATTTTAATTTCATATAAGATTTCTTTTTGCTGTGGGGGAGAGAAGGTAGATGATGCATTTTTCCAATTGCGTTTTTTATACTGTAAAGATTGCATGAAGTTTATCGTTTTTATGTGATGTACAGAATGTTTCTGAGAAACCTGAATCAGAGGGTACAGATCCAAGAACCAAAAGCGTAACCGACACCGCAAGAGATTTAGCGACATTACATCACATTTGTGTTTCACATCTAAAAGAACTTCAAGTTCTTTCGAAGACACAGGTACGTCCAAGAATCTTTAATTTTCTAATTATGCAGATATCCACGCGTTTATACATGTAAATTATATTTGTTGTTTACAGCCAACAATTAAACAACTGGTAACTGTAACTGAAATGCTAAGCAAACATAAGCAGAAGTATATGGAAATGATACGGTAGTGCTAGAGCCATGAACAATGCCAAACAATAAAATGATTAATAAGATTCGACGACGGATAACATCATATAGTAGTATTTAATAATTATGATTAAGTGATTAAACGTACAGACTGACGTGCCATATATATATATATATTACTGTATACACTCAAGCCTACATTTACTATTTCATATGTAATTAGTAATTAGTTTATATATATATATATATATATATAGTGACAAGTAACATGACAGTGATATAGATACATACAGAATCATATAGGCGTATAACGATTTTATATTTACTTAGGTGCTCGAAAATAAATGCAACATCAATCGAAATATCTCTGTTTTTAATCATTCCAAGCCTGCTTATTCAAAGCTGCAAGAAACATCTATTAATATTCAAATTTGTATGAAGTATTTAAATTGGAGATGCATATAAGGTGTCAATAAAAAATAAGTTTAAATTATTAATTAGTGTATTTCACGAACAGATATAACTTTATTATGAACATTTGGATATTGTGTATCGGATAGGATGAATACATATTAAATATAAGTTTATACATGTACCTGAATACATTTGAAAAAATTTACATAATCAAATTTTACGTAAAATTTCTTAATTCGCGAATTTCGATTATAACAGCTAAAACATGAATATTCTTGAACAGTATTATTTATGAGTGATTTATTTCTATCTAAAGACTCGCATTAATGACGAAATATTATTAAGGAAGTTACAAATATGAAGACTTTAATTAACGTTATAAAAGTAAATAGCATGGATGAGCGCTAAAGATCTTATAGGCGAGCATTCAACAAGTGAATGCGTATAACAAACAGGTTTATATATAAAGTTTTATTGTGAAATCAATTTTATAATGATATCTATGTCATGTGTATATTTATATAATATACACATTTTTATTAGCTGAAAATATTAATATTAAAAAATACTACATGCACGCACATACGAGAATATGGAAGTTATATTGTTTGCATTGCTTAATGAAGAGGATTTAACCCTTGATTGTTACTTGAACATATCATAGAATCCAGTCAATATATTTACGTTGTATGTTGATTGAAGAATAAATTCATTGTATCGAGATTATTTTATTGTCAGAAAAAAAATACTCAATTAACTTGAGTACTCTCTGTAGCTATATTCGTCGTTTATAATTTTACTGATTAAACTATGAGTATATCGCAATAAATCATGATTAATATATATTTATTTTATTACCTATTAGTTATCCTATATTATGGTGAATTGATTAGCAAATTATTAGTAAAGCAGAAACGTAAGTTTGTTTCACTGTTTCAACTGTTTAACAGCAGTGTGTTTAACTTACGCTTCTTCTTAAAGTTTAGGAAGATAGCAGTTTTCTAAAGTAAATATACTTAGATTCCTATATAAATTATAGAGAATAATAAATTTGTGCTATGGCAGAAATATAGCTTTCTTGCAATAAATTCATTATTTCTAGAAATAAACGTTAGATGAATATTAAGCCTTTGGTTAATAACATGTAGGTAGCACGAGAAATTAATACAAGAAAGCAATATTTTCCTTTCAAAATTGAACCACTGACGAGTTTATTTTGTTATAATTATACAATACTCGTTATTCAATTCATATGTACAGTGGCGTGCAAAAGTTTCCAGCCAGTGACATTTAGTACTCTAATTTATAAAAAAAGCCTAATAAAATTTCATCAGACCTTTTTTTGTAAATTAGAATACAAAATGTCACTGGTCGGAAACTTTTGCACGCCACTGTATTTTTAAATGGTACCAAAAACAAGTATTAATCTTCCTCGGACAGCATACATTTATATTTTTGTAAATTCACTCCTATATAATTGGTAAATAAAAAGATCTATTTAAAAATTGTAGACTTAATCATAATAAGACTTAACTTACCTAAAAATATCTAATCACAGTACATAATGAATTAAGTTTGTAATATCTTTTCTGTAATTTTATTATTGATAATTAGTTATCATTAATGACATAATTAATGACAAATTATCACTGATAATATTATCGTTTTAGCTATTAAAAAAATATCATTATCAATAATAATGTCATTATCAATAATAATATTATTTGTTCAGCACATTGCTGTTTGATTGAAATCCATTAGTGCGACAAGTGATTGATAGTACCTACATATCAACTAAATGTCTATACGATAAAAGTAAAAAGTATATTTTCCTTGTCATACTTCATATTTTAAAACATTGGCATTTATAATAAACTTTTTGTATTCTCCTGTATATACAGATGACAAAACACTTACCAATACAAATATCAGTGTAAAATTCGATATAATATTTGCAAATTAAATGTAGTTTTGCAATTACGTAAGCATATATATGTAACAAAGAAAATCAGTAGTTCATTCAATCAAGGGTTAAAATGCTTCAGTTTAATGAAATATTAAAAATTGCATGGCAAACTGCTAGGTAAATATTTCTTATATGAAACATAAATCCGTTAGTAAAACGTATGTTAATAAAACATACAGTACTATTAGGTAATTTGTTCTTTCTTTTCAATGTATAGAAAAAATTGTGCTTGCAATTTATCATAATATTCTATAGAGTAAGCTGCAAATATTTGTGCACTGTGAACGTAATGTAAGACTTTTTTTCATATTCTATTCCTGCGTTGTAATAGCCACGTGAAAATATTGGTGTTATCCAAGAATTTATAAAATTTTGCATTTTGACAGAAGACGCTTCTTATGTCCAGAACTACCAGGTGGTTTACCTGTGCGTTCTTTATCTTTTCGTATTTCTCTGACCTGAAATTTGTGACGGAATTACGTCCCTTGAGATTTCTTGCAAAATTATTTAAAACATCTTTTATAAAGACTTGATATTTCGCACATGTAAAATTGTATGTATATTATGCAAATTAAATTACTATCTGAAATATGACATCACAGAGAAGGATTATTTTTATTAAAGATATTGTTCTTACTCACCAAAGTATAAAATGCATCATCTACACCCATTCTCGTTTTTGCTGAAGTTTCTACAAATGGCACACCGTACTGTCGTGCGACTTCTCTCGCTTGAGTCATATTTACCGCCCAAGACTGTTGAAGATCACACTTATTTCCAACTAACACCATTGGCACTTCTTCCGCATCTTTCACTCGTTTTATTTGTTCCCTGTATGTTCCAATATCCTGTAATATTAAATGTACAAGTTGTTTAGTTGTTTCAAAATTATGCAACAAATTAATCGAATATATATAGCTGTCCCCCATGATACTTACTTCAAAACTTTTCGCCGAATTTACAGCAAACACTAACAAGAATCCTTCTCCTGTTCTCATATACTGATCTCTCATTGCACTGTACTCCTCTTGTCCAGCTGTGTCTAATATATCTAAAAGGCACGTTTCACCATCGATCACCACCTGTTGGACAACAATATGTTGATGTACTCAATAAAATATAAAAACATATACATTGTTAAATTTACTAAATCTTGTTTAATAGTTTGCATATTTAAAAAAAAAAGATTGCAATGTGCAATTTATTATAAACTATTATATAAAATAATAGAACAAATTAAATTATTATATGCTTACTTGTTTCCTATATGAATCTTCTATAGTAGGATCATACTCATCAACAAAATGATTTTGTATCAGCTGAATGGTAAGCGCCGACTTTCCAACACCTCCAGCTCCAACAACCACAAGTTTGTATTCAGTCATGATACAGGTTTTTAATATGAGTAAACAGATTATATTGTTTTTCTCTGAGCACTCTTATAGCTGTCCTGAAAATAAGAAATACAATGTAGATAAATTTTTATCAATAAGACTGATAAAACTGTTAGGAAGATCTTATCAAAGAAATTACTCTGACAAATTAAATTCTACTTATATAGTAAATATATTCTCGTAAAATAATTCATTATTATATAAAAAATCTTTATTAATTCAATAGATAATGATTATTATTAATAAAACAAGCTACACTTTACACAAGTCAAACAATTTGTTTCATTGTTAGATTTAATTTGACAGAGTTTTTTCAAAAGTACGATTCTTAAAATACAGTTTACAATTGTAAAACTTTAATTGACAATTAATGCTGGCATTCGGCAGAAGAAGCAGCTTTACATTTTTATATAATCTGCTAAGCTTCTAATTTCTTAATTAATCTGCTATCTTTCAATGTTGACAAAATGTAAATTTTTCCAGCGTACTAAAAGTACAAACGTAATGTGTATTGTGAAGCATAAATGATTATAATTCAACAAGAAAGTAGCGTTGAGCAGAAATAGCTTTCAAGCTGCTGGTAATGAAACATTAAGCACTAATTTAGTGTTATTTTCTGCCACAAGCAATTATTGTATAATTATTGATATTAATCACTCGTAATTATAACACACATTTAACGCAGCCACCGAGTATATGATATGTTCACTTTACTCACAAATTGCTTGAATCACATTAATTTCGAGGATGATGCATCGTATGTTAAATGATCGAAAAAAATAAATGGTGTTGTGTGTGTATCATCACACCCAATAAACATGCATGTATATGAACGTGCGGATAGACGTAACAAATCGATCGTAATCACGTAGCGGCTTCGCATGCACCATCAACGGGTCGGATAACTAAGCGTTCGTCGGCCGAGCGCGAGAAACAATTACTTAACGAAATATCTTCCTGCGACGAGTCATCGCTATGCGCGTCGTTGCATTTGGGAGTAAACAATGCATGCTCGAGATGCGAAACAGCCGAGAGAGGTGGACAGGCATGAGCGATGCTCGACGACGCGGACGATGCATCTTGTGCAACTTACCGTGACTCAAAAAATGCTCATTTCACGCGCTGCACCTTGGAACGTCAAAACTCTTCTCTTCGCGATCCGCACTGTCGTGAATTAGTCACAGCAGATACCATCTGGAAAGGAGCATCGTCAGTGGTGCCAATGTTGCTCGGTATGAAATTAAGGAAATGTTGGGAAGGGTGTTGACCACCGCGCTTGAGGGCTGCTAAGGTCTTGGATAGCTCTCACAGATGGTGCGAATATCGCAATTATCGTTTGCGATATGATTGCTAAAAACTTTCACTGATTGTGAATTTTACGTCTTCTCGGTAAATGTTAGTATGTAAAACTTTAGATCTATAATTCACTACAGCATTCGAGAGACAGAGTTCTACCTGTAATAATACAAAATCTAATGTAATACAATACGAAGACAAAACATTTGAAAAATTAAATGCATATAAAATATATATTGCTAATATGTATTTTCTTACTTTGAAAATAAATTAAACAAATTTTTACGATTCCATTATAATCCACTAATGATAATCTAAAAATCTGTATTATCAACTGATTTTAATAATTATTAACAAATGATCTATATTATCAACTGATACAAAACTGACATCTTGCAACCGTTACATTTGCATTTCAGATGTAGGAACAAACTTTGATTCGGTAAATATCATAAATCATGGTATGTCTTTATTTTCTGAAAACTTTTCTCACTTGTTTTTGTTTATCGCACGCGCTGAGTTTGTGAAACTCAAGATATGATACTATTTCTTTTTTGTTTATCTCAGAACTAAGAACTAGTTTACAGAAAGCTCTCATAACCTTTTTATTCACAGACCTTAAAAGATGCAACTATCTTGTTTATATCTAATCTGTTTAGCGTTCATGAATCATGGGATGAAAATATGTTGATTAGAGTTTTAAATAAGCTCCCTATTAATCAATATCAAAATAAAATTGCATAACATGATTAATCTGATTCCTTAATCAGCCTTTTATAATCGCATTGTTTATGCTTTTCTACAGTTTTATTCTGAGAAAATAATACAATGCAATTGAAGAGGATATATTTTACTTGATATCGTACATACATTGTCTGTAAAGTAACGATAAAACAAAAATAATATTTATATTATTTATTCAATCCAAAGCATTAATTAACATTTGTCCAAATAATATTTATATTATTTACTCGCCGAGGGTGCATTAGTTTGTCCGGTTCATGCATTGGAGTTTAGATCTCGTGAATAATTGACTAATTACGGAAGCGTCGAATGGACTCGGGTGATCGTTGCTACGTTAATTAAGGACATGCTCGTGTAATAAACTATTGGTATATGTTACTATACTGTAATAGGAATTAATATTACAATGCTAGTATAAAGTTTTCTGTTATGTTTATTTGCATCATAAAATATAAACGATGCGGATCTACATCTGTATTCACAAGTTAAAGTTTTCATCAGTTATATTTCGCGTTGCAAAGTTGCAATTACTGCATGAGATTGCCATCTTGTATTTATAAATTTTTAAATTATTATGTTGCATGCATGCAAAAATGTAGCATAGTGTGTTTGTTTCATATTGTTCATTCGTGTGATAATACACGTTGAGAATGTTATGAAAAGTAAGCTGCCAGCGTTTATATTATTTATTAGTAAATTGTACATTAGTTTGCTGTATTTGCATGAAGTATATAAATGTGCTCGAGTATAAATTCTGTGAATAATTGGCGAATTACGATGGTGTCGAGTAGAGCCGGCCAATTGTAGGTTAATTAAGAATAAGTGTATGCAATCAATTGTTATATTTTGACTACACTATAATAGAAATGAATATTACTATAAAAATTGCCTCATTTGCGCTGAAAAATATCAAAGTTGCTAATCTACGTTTATATTAGATTCAAAACTTAAGATTTTTTTATTGCTCATAATTCGCATTCTAATGTTGCAGGTACTGCATGAGACTGCCATCTTGTCACATATTTTTTAATCGTTGTGTTGCAAACTTGCAAAGAACGCCGCAATTTAATTGCAGTCGTTGAGTTATGTTCATTTGCATGATGCAGCGCGCGAAAATATTGTAAAAGGTGAGCCGTTAATCTTTATATTATTTACTAGTCGATTGTGCGCGCGCGTTAGTTTGACCGGCGTATTTGCGCGAAGTACATAAAAGCGTTTAAGTGTAAATCTTGCGAATAATCGATGAATTACGGGAGTGTCGAATGGCTCCGATTATATATACTCGCTGCGAGGTTAATCAAGAATATGCGTATGCAACGAACTATCGATAGATATTACATTGCATTAGAATTGAATATTACTGTGCAAATTATAAAAATTGTCTGCCATCTCTCATTTGCACTGAAATATTAAAGATGCTAATCTGCATTAATAAGTTAAAGTTTTCATCGATCATAATTTGCATTGCAATGTTGCAGGTGCTGCATAACAGCCATCTTGTAACATTAAATTTCTTAATTGTTGTGTTGCAAACTTGCAAAGAACGACATAATTGCAAATGGCGTCGAGTTTTGTCTATTTGCATGATGCAGCGCGCATCGAGAATGTTGTAACAGGTGAGCTAATTCTTATATTATTCATTAGTTGACTGCGCGTTAGTTTGTCTTGCGTATTAGCACCAAGTACGTGAAAGCGCTCAAGTATAAATCTCGCGGGTAATCAGTGAATTATGAGTGTCGAATGAACCCGGGCGATTATTGCTAGTAAATTAAGAAGATGCGTATGCGATGAACTATATCTATAGATGTTAATGTACTGTAATAGAAATTAGTATTACTATGCAAATTATAAAAATTGTCTGTCGTGCTCATTTGCAGTGAGAAATATAAAAAATGATAATCTACGTCTGGATTCATAAGTTACAATTTTCATCGATAATAATTCACATTGTAATGTTGCAGGTACTGCATGAAACTGCCATCTTGTCTTGTTAGATTTTTTAATCATTCAGTTGCAAACTGGCAAAGACATCGCAATTGACGCGCAATCATATTTCGCATTGTTCATAAGTGCAGTAATACACGATGAGAATGCAATGAAAGGTAAGCTACTAGCGTTTATATTGTTTATTAGTCGAATGTGCATTAGTTGGTTTAGTATATTTACATAAAGTATATGAATGCACCGAAATATAAATTTCACGAATAATTGGCGAATTATGGTATTGTCGAATAAATCCGGATAATCGCTGCTAGGTTAATTAAGAACACGTGTGTGGTAATAAACTATCTATTAATACTATTATATTGTAATAGAAATTAATATTATGCAAGTTGTATAAGTGATGAAAATTATCTGCTATGCTCATTTGCGTTAAAAAAATATCAAGGTCAATTTGCAAGAAAGTTTTTATTGATCATAATTTGCGTTGCAATGTTGTACTTACTGCATGAAACTATCATCTTGTATTAAATTTTTTAATCGTTCTGCTGCAAGAAAGATCACAATTGACGCGCAATCATATTTCGTGTTGCGTGATGTAACGTGCATTAAGAATTCTGTGAAGCATTATATTTATTATAGTTGACCGTGTATTTATTAGTTTGCTCGATACATTTGTATGAAGTATGTGAACGCGCTCGAATATAGATCCCGCGAGTAATCGGCGAATTATTAGAGTGTCGAATGTACCTGGGCAATCGCTGTTACGTACTAATTAAGGACACATATGTGCAGTAAGCTATCGATAGATAGTTCCTATGTTGTAATAGGGATTAATATTACTACATAAATTATGAAAATTACGACGCTAATTCGCGTCGCGAAACATAAATGACGCTAATCTGCATTTTTAGGTTAAAATTTTCATGGTTCATAATTTGTGCTACATTGTAATTATTATGTAAGATTGCTAATTAATTAATTAATTTTTCAGGTTATTCAACCACGATCGCGTAAGGATGAACGTTGCAGTACACGCACGATCATAGTGTTTCGTATTATTTAGTCACGCGGAATTCGTACGAAGTCGTGAGCATCGCGAAGTGTTAATTAGCGAGTGCGCGATTGTAATTAGTCGCAATTTTTTCGTTCGAATTGCGCCGGTGTGAATAAATGCCTGAAATAATGGTAACCGTCGCGCGAGATCGCTATCTTGTTTCTCGGAATGTTTCAGTCGTTCGTAATTAACCACAGTTTTTCTTTCGAATCGTGTGCGTGTGAATAAATGTTGGTGGAGCTACAATAGCTGTGCAGCGGTAGCGGTTACAGCAAAGTTATGTTGAACGGTGAGTGAATTCATTTGTTGCATTTACATGGTTAATTATTCGGTTATTAGCGATGATTAGGGAAGATATATTAGTGAATGTCCAATCATCAGAATATAATCATGGAAAATAGTTCTACATAAATATTAAACATAATTACTAAAATAATACATTTGTATACATATATAAAATATAAAATAATGCATGCCCATGAAAAACAACCAGAACATTATCCAATTTTAATTATTATATTATTATTTTCATTCTACTTTTATATTGTTAATGTTTGAAATATATATGAAAATTATTTTAATTATTTTAGGAGCTGTTGCCGAGAGAGATATCGATGGTACATCATTTGGTGAGTGTGAATATGTATTATTATGTGGTTGAATTATATAGTCTTATGCTACAGTAAAGCAAAATATAGAATTTTATTCCCAGCTGTTATCAAATAATGCAATAAATTAATATGTTAATAATTACATATAAGAAAAATATAAGATAGAATTTCTGTTCTTTGTTATATTTTAATAATTTGTAATATTAAAATAATTTTGAAATTCTATATATAATTTACTGTATTATATAGCTATATAATATATATAACAATTGCTATTTTTGTGTGATTGTTTAAAACATTAAAAATAATAAGAGCTTTAGACTGTGTAGCCCGATTTAATTATATATGGAATTCATTATCACT